TTCTTGAAGTAGGTATTGATGAGCCTCTGGATTTCTGTTGGATCTGTTGTGACTTCACCTTTTTCATTCTTAATTGCATGTATTTGTGCCTTTTCTTTCCTTTTTTTGAAGTAGAAGGAAATTTTAGTTTGCCCTAGGTAGTAACATAGATGTCCTCTTTTTCAATCTCAGTGTAATATTCTACATGTGATTTAATGAAAATATACAAGTTTTATAATAAAAATGGACTTTGTTTAAAGGTAAAAAAATTGATATAATGACAAGATACTGCAATACTCAGAGTCACATCCTCAACCAAAATAGGGCTAAATAAGTAAAAGTAATTATAGCAAAGAAGCTTTTACTTTATTGTGTTAGTTACATTTCTCTCATTGCTGAGACAAAATACCTGACACCCAAAGTTAAAGAGGTGGGGTTTATTTGGTTCATAGTTTGTAGAGGTCTCAGTTCATAGGCAGCTGGCTCTGAGGCTGGGATCGCAAACAAGCATTACAGAGGAGAAACAACATGGCACACACAAGGCAGCAAAGGCAACAAAGGGAGCCTTAACAGTGTCTCGCTGCCCCTTTTATCATATTCAAACTACTTAGAGTGGGTAACACTCACACCCTTAATCCTAGTGCCCTTGAGCCTAGCATTGCATCAAGAATCAATTCCAGTTTCGAACACTCTAGATCCAGCCTATGACCACAGGAGGCTTTGAAGGAACCTCTAAACCCAAACCATAACTTTCCATCCCTGGCTCCCCAAATACTCATGTACATTCCTATGCACAAAATGCATTTAGCCCATCTCTAAGAGTTGCCGAAGTCTTAACAGTTTCAACGCTGCTGAAAAGTCCAAAGTCTCCTCTGAGATTTAAGGCAAACTCTTTTTTTATTTAAAATTTTGATATGTTGTTCACCATGGATTTTTTTCACCCATTTTTCTTTATAGTTATTTTTTACCTATAAAAACTACACATGTAGTTTATCCAAGTATAGTAAACTAGATAATGGACAATAAAAATGTCTATATTTAATATATTAAGCTATTATTTGATTGCTATAATCCTGATTATTACTTTTTTTGGCACTTCTTAAATTTCACTCCTGAGACTCACCCTAGTTTCCATGCTGGTCTACATTTGTATATATTTTCTCTACTGTCAGGACACTTGTGGCAAAAGTTCAAGCTTTATCTGGGGAGAAAAACACAAAGAGTTAGGATTTATTGAGTTAACAAGAAAGGAAAACCACCCCCTAACCTCTGAAAGGCCCCTGGTCCAAATGATTCTCTTTGCTGCCGACTGCCTGTTCCAAGTGAGAAAGAATAAACTAATTTTATACCTATTCAGTCCAATAAAGCTCATTGTCCTACCTCTACCTCCAGTGATAAGAGGCAGGAACAGTTCATTTTCCATTGCTAAGCAACAGCAAAAACAGTGCACGGCATGAGTACTGGCCTCATGGGCTGATAGGGATCGCTGTCTAAAGTTCCTGTTTGCATTTTGAAGTCAACAATAATTGCAGTTCTCTATTAGTGTTCATTAAGATGGTTTATGTCTGGACTAACTCCAATCTCCACTCAGTGGTTTCAATGCGTTGTTCTCCTAGGGAAAGAAATATTTGGCAATAAAAATCCTGCACTGACTTCTCCTATAGGCTGGGGAACTCTGGTCACCATCCGCAAGCAGTTCCCTAGCCCGGAAGAACAAGGTTCTCTTGAAGGTTCGGAAAGAGAGGGGTGGAGAGGAAACTTCGGCTTCCAGCTGGCTTTCTTCCACCCGGCTTTCTTCTACCCTACCCGAAAAGTAGGCCAGTGGTACATAAGTCTGTTGTGTGACTTGAGCTCTTGCTATTCCCGGGGGGGGGGGGGGGGAGCGCAGAGAGCACGACCCCATTTCCCCGAGGTCAGCAGGAGGGTTTGGAAAGAGGCTCTGGCCTCGCTCCCTGCCTCAGGCCGGGAAGAGGCGCTTCCCAGGGACGTGAGGGGCTCCTGCCTGCCTGGCTCGGGAAGGGATCAAGCAGTGGCCTCAGTGTAACGGCCGAGGGCCCCAGGCAGCCCTTGGACGCCACTTCCCAGGTGTTGACTCACCCGGCGGCGGGCGGAGCGGCTGCCAGGCCCGGGAGGAGCAGCCCGGCGCCTTGCGTAACCTGCCCTCCGTCCCCTGTCCGGCGGCCAAGTCTGCGCTGAAAATAAAACCAGAAAACAGCTTAAAGCAATTAACGAGGATGTTATTCTCCGTTTCAGACCTCATTCCAAAACACCCTTCCACTCGCAGCACTTTCCAGAGGGAGAGTAGAGTGGCTCCTGGTCGTCCCGTCTTTCCCGCTCCGAGGCCTTCAGGGGCCCACCCCCCATTATAAGCCTGCTCGCGCCCCCTAGTGTACGTAGGCGCCCAGCGCCGTTCACATTGTGTCTGGGAGAGGCAAGGCCGGGTGAGTGGGGTGGGAGAAATTGGGGCCAAAAAGTCTAATTCCTTGAGGCCTGTATCAGATGGCAGAAAACCGCAGTTTCATTCTCGATTCAGTGCATGACTTAGGAAATCGTTCTTCATCAATTCTCCCCTGTGCTTTCCTCTGACTCCAATCTGTCCTCTCCTCCTTGCAATGGAGCAAGAGACTTTCTACCTCCATGGCTGAAGAAAAGTGAAGACCGTCAACATACCTTAATCTCATCGAGAAGCTGTGGAATGATTCTGTGCTGTGGCCGAGATGTGCAGCAGCCTAATCACTCAAAACCCAGACACTCTGCACATCCAAGGTCATTCGTTGTGCTACTGTTGTGAAAATATGTTTCCATCTCTCGGGTACAGAGACAACCTAGGGCTAGGGCTGATTCCCGAACAGCAGACAGATATGGAAGGTCAGGAAGTTCTGAACACCAAGTCATTTGTATCCTGATAATTCTGTGGTTCTTTCCCTTTCCATCCTTTCTTTTTCTCTGATAAGCAGGCAGGGGGGAGTTGAAGTAAACATAAAAAGAATTGGTTGTAGAGAAAGCCAAGGCAGGAGGGGCACTGGGGTTGGATATGAGTATCAGGAGCCATGGAAACCCACAGAGACGGATTAGCAAGCACCTACTGAGGATAACTAGGAAGTTTTCATACCAAAAATCCTGAGTCCTCAACCACATGGTCCCTCAAACAATCTTCTGAGGTTGACTACTTTGATTAGCATCAAGAACAGGGGTAGCAAATAGTTTCATACTCCATGCCAACATTAGTCAACTGAGGAGCCTATATTCAGAATGTTCCTGAAGGTTGGGTTTGAGGAAAAGCATCATGATTGATTAGTGATGTCTTCCATGAGCACAGAACAGAGGAGAGCTGGTATCCATGGCAACAAGGCAAGAAGAAAAGAGAATGCACCATATGAAGAATGCTAAGCCAGTGAGCTCTTCAGTGGTGTTCTTGGTCATTCCTGCATTCGGGGACTGAATGGATGGTGTGGTTTTTCCAACTTTCCCAAGTTCCTTAAGGTCCAGGGAACTTGCTCTTCCCACCTTCCCTTTCTTCAGATTGTGGCGCCTCACAGCTGACCAGAAAGCTGATGTGGAATAACAACAGAATGGAGACAAGAAATGGAAGGAGACGTGAGAAAAAGGTGAAGCAATCATCTGCCTCTGACCCTGCAGTCTCTCACACAGACATAGATCAAAGGGAGGAAGCTGCTGAGGATCAGGCCCGCCCCAACACTGCACACAGGCAGTGCAGGGGGCTCCAGCGGTTGCCAGGGAGCACCAGGCAGTCTCCATGTGCCTGGTCCCCAGGGTACCTTGAGCCTTTCTGTTTCTCTGCATTGCCACAGTCCCCATTCTAGTCCCAGCAACTGCCTCCTCTTTCTGGAGGTGGAGAGTTGTGCTGTCCCCCCTACCGCCCTCCCTGGGTCTTCTGTCTGGCATAATCTTTTGAATATATTCAGCTTCACCATCGCACGCGTCTCCGCCCAGGGCCTCCTGTTTACTGAACTCCTGGGTAAAGGAGCCACAGCATCCCTCTCTGTGCCAATTACCTCCACCCACTTCCCTTTGCTCTTGCCCTTTACCTGCACCCACGCCTTTATGTGGCCCCTCACAGTGAGCGCTCCTCTGCCTCAGAGCCTCACACAGACCCTGGTGGCCTAAATCTCACACCCTCCCCTCTACTTGGCTGAATATTTCTTATCTCTCAACTTGAATGTCACCTCCTCAGGGACTGCACATTAAGACTCTCCTTTGGGGCAGCTATCACCTTAGTAAGTAATTATTGGTAAAACTATTTACGTAACACCTATTCCCTGCTTGCCTGTAAGGCTCAAGACAGATCTGAGACTTTCTTCTTTGCTGCAGTATCTTAGGACTTAGCACAGCCCCCAGCATGTTTCCTGGCACGGAATAGATGCTGAACCTTTATTGATTAAAGTAATAAATGGGGGAGAAGAGAGATGGATGGATAAATGAGTGGATGGACAAGTGGAAGGAGCTCTCAGGGATGAAAGGTGATTTCTACCCCTTGCTGGTCATATGCAAGAGATAAGTCCTGTGGATTTGGTGTCACCAGGCAAGGGAGAGAGTAAGGAGAAAGCTGGGTTGGCCACAGCAGAGGGGCAAAGAGGGCAGTTCAAGGTCATAGCTTTAGTTCCCACAAATCTGAGCTTTGCCTTTCCAAGACTGCCAGGAACAAGTGTCCAGAATTCCATTTCCCAAAATATGATTTTAAAAAGAAAAATCCAAATGAGAACTGAATAGATCAGAGGGAAGGGAGTCCAGCTTTGAGCATCCATTCACATTGCTGGGAAAGCCATATAAAAATAGATCACATTTCTGTGCTTTTGTGGCTGCTTTGAGCCACTGTAGCCTTCCGCAGCAATCTAATTGCCAAACAATATGTTGCTTTGCCATGGGGCCATCTGCAATCTAAGAAAGCACAGAAGTCTAGCAGTTTCCCAATCCTATTTTTTTTTAAAAGGCGGACTCCACAGACTTGTACCCACTAATTGGCCATGTAAATTACTACCTCCTGTATCAGTTGCAACACAAGGGAAAATGGAATATAGTATTGTTTTTGGCTCCACTGCTGCCAGCTACACTGGTAGAAGGAGGGTTAGGGAGTGGGGCTGAGAGACTCAGCATCAGGAAAAGTCCAGCAAGCAGTCTTCCAAAGAGGTCAGGTTCAAGAATTCAGTCATGATTTCCCCAGACACCCTGCTGAGGTCTGGATCTGCTTACCCCGAGGGGAAAGCAAATTGTGTTGCTTTCTCATCGGACCATACCAGAGGTATGGGCTCCATTCTGCCAGCAAAGTCTGTTCAAAGGTTGGCTGATGGACATGAAGAACAGAACATCCCATACAGAACTGTTGTGTTGGCAAGGGAGCAGCTATTCTAATTACTGCAGAGGATGGCTTGCTGGAAAAGGCGCCCTCTCCATGTTCCATGGCATCCTGCAATCCCCTACCCCATGTAATGCTCACCAGTCCTAGTCAGGAACTCTGTGAACAGAGGGTGGCGTCTGTCTTGTTGGAGCTGTGTCCCCACCCCCTTGCACAGTGTCCGGCCTCTGGACACTGGTGAATAAATGTTTGCCAACAAGGAAAATGCATGTGCATAAAGCCTTGTGGATGTAGATAAGGGTTGGATGTCAACCAGAGTTTCTAATCACTAGAAAAGCCCAGTGATGGAATGGGCTGGCTTGAAAGGAGCCAGTCGGGGCCAGCAGCTTCTCAGTATAAATTTTAGACCTCTTGGGGCAGCAGCAAAGCATTTGGTGGTGAGAGACAGCATCACCTAGACGTGAGTCCATGGACTCTGGAGTCACACAAACAGACACTGAGTCTGATGCAACAGTAAGAGTGAGTCAGAGAAGGAGCAGGAAAGCTGTGGAAAGGGCTCTGTTAAGCCCTGCCGGTCACGTGAGCCTCACTCCTGCTGAGGGGTCTTAAAGGAACGGTGTGCACTGTCCCCAGAATTGTCAATGTGAAGTGTGAAGGATCTGAGTGTCTCTCATCTCCCGTCCCGGTCCTTCAAGGTAAATTCCCCTACTTTCTAGCCTGCATCTTGCTATGGCATGAGGCTTTCACTGCTCCCTGACTCAAAGGCCACTGGAGCGGGGCAGCTGTCCCTCTCACCACAGCTGGAGTCAGAGGAGGGTGAAATGGGTGTGGCTTCGGCGCTGAGTGCCCTTGTCCGACATTTCCATGGTTACCAAATGGAATGGGAGCCCCAAAAGGGAAGGATGCATCAAGTCTGTAGTCACTCAAGAAATAGGCTTTGGGGCCGGGGGATTTAGCTCAGTGGTTCCGTCGCCTGCCTCACAAGTGGAAGGACCTGAGTTCGATCCCCGGTACCAAAAAAAAAAAAAAAGAAATAGGCTTTGTGAGCATTAAATAATATTCTAAAACACTTAATTTAAGACCTGATGATAATGTGCCAGATGTTGCTATTATTAGTACTGACTTTTCTTTATTAATAGATGATGATATGTTTTGAGAGGAACAGGAATCATTTGGAGTAAATTTGTAACCTTTAGATTTACGTATTTGCTTCAAGAACTCAGTGTTTTGAAGGTGGAAATAGTTCTGGCCTTGACCTACAGAAAGAAAGATCCAGACAAGGTAGGCCTGCCTTTCAGACATCCAGGCACATTGAAATTTCTCATTTGGCTTTTCTTAAAACCACTGCCTTTAATACCCTCTGACACATGGCCTGATGATTTTCTGGGTCGAACTGACAGTTTTAAAGCAGGAACAATGTGATTTTGATAGGGAGAATTATTTGGTGACCCCAGATGTCCTAAAATGGTGGCTTAACTCTGGGCACTCACGAAAAAGAACTGCAAAAAGTTACACAGAGACCCTGGTATATTGAGATCAGTTTCTACCCCAAGGTGTAGAAGAACAAATGGCTGGAATGTTTGTCATCCTGCAAATCTCCTCCTGGGCCAGCTTCAGCCACAGCTTCAGCTCTCCTTCAGGGAGACCGAGCCCCATGACAGGAAGACAAAGACAGGCAAGTGGCAAGAAGGAGGGACTTCTTATTCTCTTGCTAGACAAGGCCCATAGTGCAGAGCTGCTGTCTGCAATCTGTGGCTTTGACCTGCTTCTGCTCACTCAGGGAATCTCATCTCCACCCTGAGCAGACTGGGCCTTAGGGGAGAGGGCAGGTGCTGTCCCCCGGGGGGCTGTGTACCCAGAATTGGATGGAGAGAGAAAACAAAAGTGTTGACTTAGAAGGAGCCAGTGAGATCCGAGGGCCCCTTGGCATGGCTTCCCCTAGGTTGGGAATTCCTAGGTGACCGAGCTCTCCCTTCAGGGACAGTGGCGCGGGCATGAGTCCTCTCCTGGCAGCCACTTTCTGCCATCACCCAACTGGGCACATGTCGATCCTCCACTGAACGCCACCCTGAAGACCAAAGAATCTAATTTTCAGCCACTTGATTTCAGGCCTGGAGAGATGAGTGTGGAAGCCAGCTGTCTTTTTCCCTGTGGCATAAAGTGTTCAGCACCTACTGACCAAAGCAGAAGTACCGGGCTGGTGCAGCCTGAGACGGGGGTTTAAAAATACATTGGCATTAGCTTCCCTGTCAATACTAATGCATTCAGGAAGCTGAAGGTGGCTCCCAGGATGGCTGTGTCAGGCCTAGCATTTAAATATTTAGTGGCCAAGTAATTACTGTAATAATTAATTTCTGTTGCTTAATCTAGCAATCAGGCATGTCGCTTTACACACGGGAAAATGTTGGTCCCTGTAGGGGCATGTGTGTGTGAGTGTGTGTGTGTGT